ACATGACTACTTCGGTCTTTGATATGTTAATTAGCAGATCCTTTGTCCTTGTTGCATCATTCAGTCTATCTAACATTCAGTGCAAATCATTTGGGTTCTCGTTCAACTGTTTCTGTACAGAAGTATATATATATTCGCATTCCCAACAACACCTCTGACATCAGAAAAGGCATTTATCCAAAAACACATTAACCAACCAATGAGATATCACAGTTCTTTGTCTTACTTGTTGTTCAAAGTTGAACCATTTGCTAAGCATCCTGTTTATACTCACTCAAGCTTTATTCCCATCATATCCAGCTCTTACCATATTCAGCAACCAATCTTCAACTTCATTTTCCCGTTGAAAATCCCATAATTCAAGTCTGCTACTTGATCATGTAGTTTCTCTAAATCAACCAATGGACAATAAACTTTCTCCCATTCATACATGTCTCAGTGACCTGAATAAACCCTGATCTACAAACACTACAGATGCCATCTTTCCCTTCATCTTTCCACCAAGAATCCTTCTTTATATTTCTCGTTAGAAATTTACATCTCTGTGGCCCTTTGTCACATAATTATTTTCATCTCTTCCACGAAGGCTCCACATCCTCTTTCTGTCCAATTTCCACTCAATCTATTGGGAGAGTAATCTATCTTCTAATAATAAAAGATCTAAATGATCTGTCTCTTTCAACTCTACGGATCTATGACTTATACTTTTTTTTCCTGCAGTTGTTCATCTTTCATTTCTTTTACAGGTAGTCCTTGTTTATTGACTGCCTTATTTAGTGACTGTTCGATGTAATGATGGTTGAAAAAAAACCCAGCTTTGCAACCAATCCTGGCATTTATGGCCATCGCAGCATCCCACGGTCACGTGATCACCATCTGCAAGCTTCACAACTGGCTTCCAACAAGCAGAATTAAAGGAGAACACAGAAGGGATTGTGGTCACATGATATCTCACTTAACGATCACAGTGATTTGCTTAACGACAGAAGCAGAAGTGACATAGTAAGTCCAGCACGGTCACATGATCTTTTTTGCATAGCGACCATGGCTCTTAGTGATGGAGTTGCCAGTCCCAATTGTGGTTGGTAAGCGAGGACTATCTGTACTTCTTTCCTTTTCTACAGGTAGTCCTCGAGTTATGACCATTCATTCAGCGACTGTTCGAAGATACGATTGCACTGAACGAAGGTACTCATGACTGGTCCTCGAAGTTCTGGCTGTTGCAGTGCCCCCATGGTCACATGAACAAAATTCAGACCCTTGGCAACCAGCTTACCTTCCTTCCCCAACCTCCCTGTACTCGCACACACATACACACCCACCAGTGCCCTTCTTCCCTGGCCTCCCTGTGCTCACGCTGCACTGCAGCACTCCCTCAACTCATGGGCCAGACCTCCCCCAACCCCCTGCAGCAACCCCATGCTCCTTATCTGGGATTCCCTCTGCTTCCTGCTTAACAACTCACATGTCTTGGGGTCACAACAACAACCAGGACTGCATGGATTGCCATAGTTAAGCGATGCGGTCACATGGCATCGTGCTTTACGACTGCATCACTTAGTGATGGGTTGTAACTCGAGGACTACCTTTATCTCCATTTTCCCCCAGAATCTACTCTTGACATTACCAAACAATGATTGTGCCACATTCAAAATTTTCATCACCATTGTATCTTCAATAATTTTCTCAATGGTTCATTATAAAGAATCAAATCAATAATTTCTTTTCCATATGCATGTATGAATAGATTTATGCTGACTATATATTCAAAACAAGAGACCCTTTTCTGAGCAGATATTCACCATTTTTATTCCTTCTTGGTTCTCCAAATGGCCTCGTCATTTTTTCTGTATTCTCTGTTCCCTATCTCACCTGCTTAACAGGGTAATTTTACCCCCAGATCACATTCATTTAGAATATTGTACAATTTTCCTCCAGACTAGTTCTTCCATTATCACCATTCATTAGAATGCAACATGCAGCTATCACTACCCTAAGGATTCCTATTTTTATAGGTGCTCACAACAGTCTAGAAAACACCAATTTATACTTATTTTAGCCTTTTCATTCATAATTAAACCTACACCTTTCACTTCCCTGCAAGGTCCCATCTACTCCATTCCACATGATCAGGCCATCTTTATTCAGATTATTACATCTTTCGTTCTTCTCTTAGACTCAGAGGCACACCAATTATCTTTCATTCGTTCATTTTGTTTGTTAATTTGTGGTCTTTACTACGCATTTTTCCTGCATTCCAAGTTGCAAATTTCCATAAGCCATGATTGCCACCAGATGGGTGCAATGATATTGATCTCTGCCACTTACTGATCTCTGCCATATTGGGGCTAATCTAATCCCAGGTGGAATGATGTTCCACAGGCAGGTGCCACGGCAGGATTTTTAGTAATCAGGAGAAGGCGCTGATGAGGTTACTAGCCGTAATTGCACTGGTGCCCATGCAGCATCCCCTGCTAATGCGTCAGCCTTGCAAGGTAGTCCAAACAAGAAGCATACCCAGGAGTACTAGCTCTATCTTTATTGTTAGGCTACATTAACAGAATCTTGCAAGTCTGAAAGTACACTTCTCCCCCCCACTGTCACCTTTACAGTCCAAGAAA